AAGCAATAGAACTAAGTGGTCATGGGCTTTTCTGCAGACGCTTTGATTGCACATACACCAAACCAGAGCAGGATGGCTCAAGCAAGAGCTACCAATGGAACTACCTGGTAAAGAATTCAAAATAATTCTTCTTGGAACCTGTCAACAGACTGAAAGGAGATCAAAGGATATGAAGACAATGCCAAGAAAACCATAGACAAACTTAAGGAAAGCACAGACCAAACTCTGGAAGAGTTCAGCAAAACAATAGAAGAACAAAGACAATATAGAGGGAACACTGGAAACCATACAACAGAAAACAAACAGACACCAAGAAGGCTGATACTGAAACTTCAGAAGTAAACACTGCATTGAATGGGCAAAGGAGCAGAATTGAGCGGGTGGAACTCACTACATTGAGAACAGATTTCTTAGTATTAGTCTCTTAGAGAATCAATCGGGGACATTTTTTTAAACAGAAAAGCATGAGGTTTATATGGGACACCATCAAGAGAAATATGCCACCTAGTCTTAGAGTTCCAGAGCAGGAAAACACACACACACACACACAGGTGCATGTGTGTGTGTATGAGCACAAATAAAGCACCAAGAAAAATGTTGGATGAAAATATGCCTTCAGAAAGCTCAGTGAACTCCAATGATTGATCAGCGAAAGAAAATCACCAAGAGATATCACAACCAAACTTTCCAAATTAAAGAAAGAATCTGAGAGTACCTGAAGACAAAGGCAGTTACCTGCACAGGAGAGCCAATATAAATAACAACGTCCTTTTTCTCAGTAGAAACTTTACAGGCAAGAAAGCAATGAGGTAGCATATATAAAACACTGAAATTAAAAAACAATTGCCAACCAAGAATTACATATGCACCAATGCATATCCATCCATTACAATGGGAAAATTAGTGAGATTGGGAGTTTCACGTGAACAGAAATTAAGGCAACTTGTCAGAACCAAGTCAGCCTTACAAGAAGTCCTGAAGGGAGCCCTGCCGACAGAGAACCAACCCAGAGAGACAAGGACCCCAGAGTACAGCACGCGACGACATCACCCAGAAATCAGCCCCAACGCAGAAGTATCAAAAGCAAAATCAACCTGCAGAATGAAAATAGGGAACCAGATGTGACGATTTGTACAGGATGACAACCACAAAGTAAAAAGGAGAAACGGTGTCGTTACAGACCTTCCAGCTGAAAAGGAAGTCAAGATGCAACCAAGATACAGCAGACTGCTTTAAACTTAGAAAAACAATGATAAATTACAGGGTAGTTAAAAAGAGCATGAGTAAACCTCACCAAAACTTTTAAAAAGAAGAAAATCTTAAAGCGTCAATAAACACTGATACAACAGCAAAAAGCAAACAAAGAAACAAAAAACCTGATAAGAAAATCCATAAGCACAATTAACTCAGCACAGAACAATACATGGAATAACAAAGCCTTCAAACACACACACACACACAGAGCAAATTGATAGTGGCAAATTCATGCCCATTGATAATTACGCTGAACATAAATGAATTAAATGTACCAATCAAAATACATGGAGCAGCAGAACGACTATGAAAACATGACCTATCAATAGGCTGTTTACAAGAGACATGCCTTAGCCACAAAGTCAAAAATAAGTTAAAAACCAAAAGATTGGAATATATAAGTTATATGTCTATATCAATCAAAGAATAGCAGGAGTGGCTGTATTAATTTCTGCTAAAATGGACTTGAAGACCAAGACCAATGAAAGAGACAAGGGAGGAAGGACAGTCTATAACGATTCAAACGTCAATAAAACAGGACGTAAATTAGTAAATAGCCACATAGCTACTGAGCCCTAAAGTATATAAATCAAACCTTAGCAGAACTAGCAGGATCAAGGGACAACTCAATAATAGGAGTAAGAGACTGTAATACAGCACTTTTGAGGGGGACAGAACTGCTAGAAAGAAACTCAATGGCGGTGCAGAAGGTCTAAGCAGTGCGATTGGCCATCTAGACCATAAACGTATACGGACTATCCACCTAACAGCACACGAGCATTCTCTCCCAGGGTCTCTGTGAGGCCACAAAGCATGCCTCAAACATGTCATTTTAAAAACATCAAAATTCTACCAAGCATCTTCTCGGGCCACATGCTATAAAGGTAACTATCAGCAACAGAAAGATCAAGCAGGAAAAATCAAATACGTGAAAACTGAATATCACCCTGCTTAAAAACTGCCGGGTAATAGAAGAAAATTTTAAATTCCTTGAATCAGACATGAATAAAAACACAGCATACCAAAGTCTTTGAGACACAGCAAAAGCTGCGTTCAAAGGACAACTTAGCAATAAAAGCACACATTGAAAAAGAAAAATCAAGATCAGTACCTTCACCCAACATCTCCAACAGTCAGAAACAGAACAGGAAGGGTGGGGAAGCCTGCAGTCGCCCTGGGGAAGGCCACCATGCTGGGTAAAGTGGAGGGGCAGCGGAAGAGAGGAAGGTGCTCAAGGAGATGGATGGACACTGGCCGCAGCCATGGGCTCAGGTGTAGAACAATCGTGAGGATGGTGCAGGACCAGGCAGTGCATGGGGTCACTGTGGGCTGGAACTGACTTAGGGCCCTGGACAGCAACAACACAGTCACCAGAATAAGGGAAATAGTCAAGATGTGAGCAGAATAAAGGAAGCCAACAGCATCGACAAGATTAGAAATGGAAGAGCTGGTACTTTGACAAACTACTGGGAATCTGAACAAAACGCAAGAAAAAGAGAGTGCCACTGCATGAATAAGAAATGAGGGGCTCCTTCTGCCCCGTCACCCTCACCTTGTCTTCTCACGACTGTCAGGGTCAAGAGACTCCCGGCCAAGACGTAAAAGCAGAATCATCCAATTCCCCAGTGAATCGGAATGAAAATTGGTAATGAAGTCAGGTGGACAACTCCAAGAGGAGACATTGAGGAAGAGTCCAGCTGGGCTAGCACCTCCAATTCACCGAGGTTCACTGCCATCCTGCCTCCGCAAGTTCACTGCCATTCTACCTCCGCAAGTTCACTGCCATCCTGCCTCCGCAAGTTCACTGCCATTCTACCTCCGCAAGTTCACTGCCATTCTGCCTCCGCAAGTTCACTCCCATCCTGCCACCTCAAGTTCACTGCCATTCTACCATCGCAAGTTGACATTTTTATCACAACCGGATCCATTGAACCTATGTTAGAAAACTTCTGTGTTCTTCCTTTTTTTTGTGTGCCTCCACATTAAGATCTTGATTTATAAATATGTGAGGCTTTCTTTTAAGTAAATGAAATAAGTGGTGCCACACAGGACTAGCTAAAATAAAAAGAACAATAACAGAACCATATGAAGAACTGTACCACAATAATTTTTTTTTTGGGGGGGGCAGATGTCTAGGAGCACATTACCTACCCAAACTACCAAATCTGAGTTAGATGATGTAAGCTGCTCCATCACGAGAAAACTCCCAAGAAGAAGACAGTCCAGGCCTAGCCAGCTTGCCCAGAAGAGTCTACCAAACACCCTTCGAACGAGCTGGCAGCAGTTCGCTCCACCAGGGAGACAAGGGCACTTCCAGATTCATTCTGTGAAGCAAATAAAACCCCAATGCCAGCCCCAGGCAAAGACACTTCTAAGAAGGAAAACGTGTGCACCAATATTCTTCCTGCATGAACATAAATGCAAAAATTCTAGGCAATACTATCCAACAACAGATCAAAAAATAATCCAGCATGAACAAGTGGGATTGATATTGATTTTGCGAAGGTAATTTAATGTTCGAAAAACAACAATGTGCCACATAAATAAAACAAAGGAAAGAGACGCATGATCCTATCAGTCAATACTATAAAAATGCTGGATAAATCGGAATACACAGGCGATTCCTCAACATAACTAAGGGCAAATACATTAAACCAATGGCCTACATTCTTATTAAGGGGGAGAGACTGGAAACATTCCCTTTCAAATACAGTGCCCTTTGTCTCCATTCCTATTTAATATTACACCAGAAGTCCTAATCAGAGCATGAAGGCCTGATGGGAAAATAAAAGTAAAACTATCTTCATTTGAAGGAGATGTGTTCTGATGCAGGATAAGAAAACAATCTCAGAGACTCGGTTAAAAAAGGCTGGAGCTAATAAAGTGATTCAGCAACATAGGATACAAACTCGATATACAAAAATCAGTCAGAGCCCTGTACCCCAAGAAAGAGAACTGCACAAAGGAAATTTGGAAAACAATATCATTTACAATAGCCACCCCAAAGCTACCTAGGGATAAATCTAACCAGAGACAGAAGCTCTTTACAAAGAAAACGATAATGCACTACTACAAGAGAGCTACAGAGATGGAAAAATAGACCATGCTCTTGGATTGGAGGACTTCATGTTGTGGAAGTGTCAATACTACCCAACGTGGTCTGCAGATATAGTGTAATCCTGATCCAAATGCCATCATCTTTCTTAAAAGTGGTAGGAAAGGAAAGGAAAGAGACCCCAGGTAAGAAAGTCACTACCACGAAAGAACAAAGCAAGAAGCCTTCTGATTCCTAATCTCAACGCCCATGATACAGCCACAAAAGACGAACCAGCCAGGCACTGGCACAAGACACATTGGCCCATGAGATAACATTAGGAACCAGAAGTAAATTCATGTGCTCCATCCCCCACCAGACTGGCCCCTATGCACCTTAAAGACTAGAATTTGCCCAGTAGCTCACTTTTAACCCAACAATAGAGAAGCCTATAAGGTGAGCCTGAAGAGGCTATCGTTCCTACGAGATCAAAGGCACAGGATAAAGTTCAGAGGGCAGGAAGGGAGGTGGGAAACACAGGTGCCAGGTGCCAGGGGTATGAGCTCAGGTAACCCCAAGCAGGAAACCTTGGACACAGAGACTTTCCTAGCCGGGCCAGCCTCCCCCAGGGGCACCCACCACCCCCATGTGACCCGAGGCCCACCTCTTCCTCTCAATGAAGGTGGTCTGCCCCCTGCTCTCCCCTTGGCAGGTGGTGGCTGTGGACCCAGACCTGGGCGAGAACGGCACCCTGGTATACAGCATCCAACCACCCAACAAGTTCTACAGCCTCAACAGCACCACGGGCAAGATCCGCACCACCCACGTCATGCTGGACCGGGAGAACCCCGACCCCGTCGAAGCAGAGCTGATGCGCAAGATCGTCGTGTCCGTCACCGACTGTACGTGCCCTCGCTCCCCGCTGGCCCCCCGCACCTTGGGCCGGAGCCCCAATACTAAGGGGCCTGGGGATTTCCTCAAATGCTTGCGATGTGTCCCCTGGGATCTTGGGGCCTATTCAGGGGTGGTAGAACACACACTTCCCAGTTGTGAACCCTCCCTCCCCACAAAGCACACTGGGGGAGTGGGGGGCGGCATACAGGGATCTGGGGGGGATTTGAGGCCTTGGCTGCTTCCTGGAGGGGCTACCTGGATGGGAACATGGGACGGGGGCGGTCTCTGAATCCGCCTCCCTTCCCCCCTTTTCCCTCTGCCCGTCCCTCTTCCTCTTGCCCCCTCTGACCTCACGTCCATGCCCCGCGCCCTGCAGGTGGCAGGCCCCCTCTCAGAGCCACCAGCAGTGCCACAGTGTTTGTGAACCTCCTGGACCTCAATGACAATGACCCCACCTTTCAGAATCTGCCGTTTGTGGCTGAGGTGCTGGAGGGCACCCCTGCAGGGGTCTCTGTCTACCAGGTGAGTGTCGCTCTCCCGGCTCCAGATCCTGCCCTCAGCCTCCCTCACCTCACTCCTGCCAACCAACAGGTGGGCGGCAGCAAGGGCCCCTGTAAAGCCTGGCCTGCCCGCCTGGGGAGCCAGTCCTGTGAGAGATGAGGAATGGGTGCGGTCGTCTGGGAAGGCATCCCAGAGGAAGGAAGGCTTGGGCTGGGGGTTAAAGGGAAAGTGGATTTAGAGAGGGGAGGCACCGCAGGGATGTAAGGAAGGTCAGAGAAGAAACAGGGAACTCCTGGTGGTCAGATGGTTCGCACTTGGCTGCTAACTGATCAGGAGTGTGGCCGTCTGAATCCACCCAGAGATGCTTCGGGGAAACCCCTGGGAGCACAGGTCCCTTGCGTGGGCTGCCATGAGCCTACGTCACGTGACAGCAACTGGCTTGTGTTGGTTCAAGGTAGAAAGAAACAGAGAGGGAGGCAAGACCATGATGGGAGGCGAGCTGGAGAGCAACTCCTGACATGTTATGGGGATCGGGTCCCAGATCCTCAGCCCTCAAGCCCCCAGAGTTCTATAACAGGAAGCAGGTCCGTTTGAGTATAACCCAGGCACCCATTCTTCACAGACAGCCCCATAGGTGGGACTCTCTCCATTTGACCAGGCCCTGTGGCCAGCAGAGGCTGGCTTCCATCTTGAACCCAGCTTCTGTTCCATCCCCCTTCCATTCAGGGAACCCCTGGGGGACTGGGTCCGGGAAGTTAACCCTCGTAGGAAGGCTGGGAAGCCTCATGGTTGAGTACATAGGCCTTGGCATCTGGTCAACATGGTGTGGTCCAAAACTTCACCTCCTCCCAGCGGTGAGACCTGGAGCCCCTCGTTCAACCTCTCTGCACCACACTGTTTCCATCTGTGAAAAGGGTATAGTAACAGTACCTGCTGTTATGGGAACGCCGTCAGGGAATACGCAGTCGCTGCCCTTGCTATAATGAGCCCTTACAGTTCTGTGGGTTGGGGGTTTGGGCTGCTAACTATGAGGTTGGCAGTTCAAATCCACCAACTACTCTGAGCGAGAAACACGTGGCCGTCTGCTCCCATAAAGATTTATAATTCAGAAGCCCTGTAGAGGGCGACTATGAGTCAGAATTAGCTGGGTGGCGCTGGGTTCGGGTTTAGGTTTATGCTTCTCACATGCCTGTCGTGAGAGTTTCTTATGCCAGCAAGAAAGGGAGCTTTCTTATGCCAGAAAGCGAGGATGAGTCTGTCCCCAAACGAGGAAATCTCGACTGTTTGTAGGATGCCAGAGTGGGTAACCTTGGCATGCCCTGAAGGCCACTGCGTCTCAGTCTCATCATTTGTAACACACACCCCTTCAAAAGCAGAAAAGGCACACATTGCCCTCAGATCGATGCTGACTCATGGTGACCCTACGGAGCAGAGTAGAACTGCCCCTACGGGTTTCCGAGCCGAGTCAAGGGCCCCGTCTTTCCCCCATGGAGCTGCTGGTTTCAAACTACCGACCAACTGGCCAAGCAGCCCAACTGACCAGTGTCGCCGTGACACCACCCCGTATAACAGTGTTCTTGGACTGGTCCCCGGGAGCCCTCTGCATCTCCAGGGAGCGCTCCCCCAGACTCCCGGCAGGGGGAGCTGTGATCCTGGGGACAGCAGGCGGTCCCCTGGGAAATCGCCTCAACCGGGAGCCAGGGAAGTCAGGATAGCAAGTCTGCAGCCAGCCCTGGCTCTCGGAGGGAGGCCAAGACAGCAGGGTGAGGGATGCCCCCGCCACTAAGCACCCGCCACCATGTCTGTGTTCACAGAGGAACCGACGCCGGTCACCACAAGACGGTGAAGAAGCTAATTTGTGGTAGTGGGGGACTGCGTTCACGTTACCCCCTAAAA